CAAACCAAAATTTGACATCTGAGCAACATTTGAGTTCACATCCAATGTCGAATGGAAAGTTTCCCGCTTAAATCTAAATTAGAATGGTAGAAGATAATGTTCTAATAATGTTATCAATAAACATTTTTAGAATGTTTTTAGAGAATGTTATCCTAACTTTTAGGAGAATATTCTGGGAACTAAAATAAAACTTGCCGCTTAAAACATTACCAGAACATAGCATAATGTTCTTGGAACATTCTTACAACAATAACATTCCTAGCTGGGCATGTTGACAAAGGGTGCTTTTACACCTGTATATCGATTGCTTTGTTCCGAAACAGGGATTAAAATAATTACAATGTTGCTTATTATTCTTGGTGGCAAAGTTTGTAAACGGACCAAAATTGTTACAAATACAAGTCACGTGCGAGTAAACTGTCCTCTCATTGGTCAAAGTTCCACGGTTTATTGTCAAGAATTCCGCTCATAGCTGTCATGCGTCAGAACACCGTCACAACAGCTTCGAGGGCATTTTGTTGGGTTTTTTGTAGCTGTCGTTATATTAATTTATTAATTTATCATTTTGAGCAGGAATCCATGATTCGTCGGGAAAACATTGTTAAAATTAAACCTTGTTGTAGCCTATGTATTATGCTATATTCATTATTTTTTAGGAACATTGCACTTTTCTACTCCATTTTAAATGCTGTTCTTGTATTCAACTTAAGCGCGGTCCAATGCTGCACACGTGCCACGATATCGATACAGAGACAGCTGTATCGATACACGTATCGTCAAATCTCTGTGACGATACATCGTTGTATCGATGTATCGAACACAGCACTAGACAATACAGCATCTAAAATATAACTTGCTTAATATTAATTTGTTTATTGATCTGTTGTTGTATAAAATGAATGTTTGTAGTCATGCAGATATTCGGGAAACAACACTCTTGCTCGTGGGATGTTGCTTAACTCGTAATTTATATTAAAAACAAAAACACATAAGGGCATTTTTTGCTTCCATACCTGCTTTCTAAACTTCTTTCTAATAGGCATTTTGCTTGCAGTGAAAGCATGCACCGTAAATTTGCACAATCAGTAGTCATACTACGCTACATCAGAGCGCTACATCATAGTGAATGCAAAGTGGTGTTTTTGATTGTGACTTACTCATTAATGTAAGTTTGTTCACCCCTAGCAGTAAATGCAACCACACATGAACAGAGATCAAGAGAGAGAAAAATTGGATTTGATTCATTCCAGGTCCCATAAAATATCTTTACAGATCTAAAGTTAGCACAGACCCTAGCAATTCTAACATTTAAAAATGTATTTCTGTATAGAACATCTTTATACAAGATATAATTTACTCGTGTTAAAAAGCTAACTGAAGAAAAATGGGGGAAAATGAGCAAAATTAGTATTGCACAATATTTCTTACTTTAGACTTTTACAGTCTCATTAATATTTTGACAACTTACAGTATTTATAGTCCTTGGCAAGTTGAACAGAAAGCACTCAAAGCAGGCTCACAGCCACCACACAAACCAATGCAAAGGCAGAGACAGACCATCATCAATGTGAAGAAACGCTTCAAAAGTCAGATAGAATCAGCCTGCATGTGTTGTTAATGCAGTGGTTCTCAACACTTTTTACTTCAAGGCCCCCCCTCCTCTCCGAATCAATACTGCAAGGCCCCCCAACCTTTTTTATTCACAAAAACCTTTGTATTCTATTATTATTACTTTTCAATTCCATGTAATTATTTTTAAACAAAACAAATTCAAGATAGATTTAAACATTTAGTGTTCTTTTTTTAACATACTTGGCAAAAATGTCACTGCAGATATTCTTTACATCTTAAATGTACTTAAAAGTACATAAAGCTCAATTATACAGAATCTTTAGCAAATAAGCACAAGTCAACCTGCCATACCAAACAAGACCACAGGGAGATGCCAAAGGGCTGCATAAAAAACTACTATACGGATCCATTCAGAATCACTAAACACACCAAAATACAAATGAAAGATTGAGACATTCTGATCAAATGATAAAATGAAAAAATTCTGAATGTGTGGAAACTCAGTGATCTGAAGGTGGGTCGATGTCATTAGTGAATAGTTCCTCAGGGCTGGGCATCGTTCAAACATTTTCGATACCGATACCAATACCTTGACTTCAATACCGGTTCCTGAATGATACTTTTTTCGATACCAATTTTATGAAATAAATTTGACCAAGATTACATTCTCTCAAAAAAACTTTGATTTTATTTTTTCAGCTTGTTGACGTTTATACAGACTCAAAGACGCATCTCCTGAGCCATTGGACAAAAGAACAAAATGTAACCAACACAATACATAAGTGCAAATAGTTTGAATAGTTCAAACAGTTTTCAGTGTACACATCTGCTAGGCTACGTTTACACTAGTGCGTGTTTGTTTTAAAACGCATGGCTCAGACAGAATCATCATTTCTATTCATTTTCCACTGATTTACTGATGAGCATTAGCAGCTTCCAGCACTGTCTGCCTGTGTTTTCTCTTCCTCGATCACTGTTCTGACTCAGAGGAAATAACATATTTCAGCAACATTACATGGCCAAAACACACATTGGACGGCAATCGGAGGTTATTACAAACAGTCGATGGTGGTTTAAAGTGAGTTTTGAGTAAAAGCGGAATATAAATCTTATTTATTGTCTTATGTAGCATGATGATAAAGTGTGCATGAATGGTCACGTAACACGTGCTTTCAGTCGTGTAACGTTAGTATGGACGGAGATCTTTTCTGAAACGCGGTGGAAACTCCATGGATGAGGATCATTTTCATTTTAACACAAAAACTCGACAGTGTAAGCTTTCACACTACAGCCTCACGTGTGAGCCACATCTGAGTGTAACCGGTGTAGTAAGTGTGTTTGACTTGACGCGTCGCGGGGGCCATGCAGACAGATCGTTGTATTACATTACCGTGAGAGCTATAGAGACTGCTCCATATGCTTTCGAAACGCTCTCGCGGATGTCAAACACTGATCGATCTGCGCAGCGGTGCTTCTAGTTGAACACACCTAGTGCTGCAGGCTTATTGGCTCACTGACGTTGAAGAGATTAACCCCATAGGAATCGAAGTTTGGTACGTTTGGTAAAAAAAGAAGTTTTTCGATACTCGATGGTATCGAGGAAATTCGGTCGGTGCCTAAAAAGTATCAAACTCGATACGCAGCCCTAGTCAGAACACACGGTCTTGTCTGTGTTTGGAGCGTCTGATGCCCATATGAACACCACTGATACTTTAATTTTATTTCGCGCCCCCCTGGAGGATCACAATTGCATTAAAGGGATAGTTCACCCAAAAATGAAAATTACGTCAGTAATTACTCACCTTCATGTCGTTCCAAACCCGTAAGACACTCGTTCATCTTTGAAACACAAATTAAAGGGGTCATATGATGCGATTTCAAGTTTTCCTTTCTCTTTGGAGTGTTACAAGCAGTTCGTGAATAGATAAATTATAATCCTTAATTATGTCCCCACTGGATGCAACGAATGCCTCGTTTATAATGGGTTTTAATGTTTTTGTCTCGTCGCTCCATCACAGTATGGTGAGGGGCGTAACATTTCCGTCTCACGCTTGAGGTATTCGGCCAATCACAACGCATTGGATAGCTGGCCAATCAGAGCACACCTTGCTTTTCAGACCGATGAGCTTTGTAAAAATCGACGCGTTTCAGAAAGGCGGGGCATAGAAGAGAAACAATAATGTACAGTATGTGGAAAATAATGTGTTTTTTTAACCTTAAACCGCATAAACACATTTCATTACACCAAATACACAAAATAATGTTCTTTTTTAGCAACGTCATCTGACCCCTTTAAGATATTTCAAGAGCGCCTCTGACGCTGCGTGCAGCTGAAGTCAACCACACACTCATCACAGCTAATGAAAAATCGTCCTTGGCATAAATGAACGTCACATTGAAGTTACGCAGCTAAATATTGCGAACTCCAGTTAAAGTGAGTATTTCATTTTAACCTGTTCTCATGTTCATAACGGCGGTTCATGTCGGCGTGTCCTTACTGCGATTACATAGCAGCTATATGCTGCTGCTTATAAGCTTAGTATTTCATTACTGCATACGAATTTAAGACTGTTAAACATGACACTTAGTTGAAAACTTGTTTTATGGTTGCTCATTTAGAATGAATAAAGCAGACCACACATTATGCACAGTGAAACCAAGTAAAAGAGCATTCACTTATCTTAGATGTTAATTTCAGATGCTTTCTGAAGTCCGCTGCAACTGCTACAGCAAGCACTTGCCGAGTATTTGAATGTTGAGCAGTGAGCTCATTGGCTGCTGATGCGAAAAGAAACCAATCAGCTGCGCCATGTGCATGATGATGTAGTTATATCAGATTGAGATTGAATTTATCGGCCTGCGCTGGGTTATTCGACAGCACTATAACTTAAATAACAGAATGGCTTTAAAAAAGAAAAACACTTTCTGACATTGCCCCATCAAAGTCTTCACCTCAACCTGATTTAGACTTTGGCATGACCTCTAGAGTGTTTCACACCTTTACTTGTTCCGAATATTACACTATTGTCTGTTTTTGCTCTACCTATATTTCTTCCACTCCACTCATATTCACTGACCAATTTTCAGTGCATGTGCTGTTTGGTTACATTCAAAACTTTGGCTTCCTTTGTAACCTTTTTTTTCCTGGTGGAGAAGAGATTACTATACAGCAAATTGGCCATTTTTTGTGTAAAACATAAGTTACTGGATATTATTGACTTGTATATACATGTTTTATATAAAATCAGTTGAACAGAACATGGATGGATGTTAATTATTTATGTACATTTATACTTTTTATTTTTTCCATCATGTTACCGTGAGGCTATCCACTAATCTTGCTTTCTAAACAGTTCTGGCGTATATCATACATGTGCATACATACTGTGTATAATGGCTCAATAATGGTAGGGTTTGGTTTTGTGCAGAGGTCCAGAGAGGAGCGGCATCATCAGGTGGACTGGATCTGCTATGAAAATTCATTCTATGTGTTCTGGCTGCTAGAACATCTTGCCCAGGACAATGATTATAATGTAAACAAGGAGCTTGTGATCCAGCTGGAAAACAAAGCATTTCCTCTCGCAGATGAGTTTCCCCTGTTCTCTTTGTATATGTGGCGGATCGGAGGTCTCTTCAGGGCAGGACACACATGAGCAGATGTAGACTCGCTACTGTCTTTCTTAAAATCTTTGCTCCTTTTCAAGAGCTCACTTTACATGAAGTTCCTTAATGTAAAAAAAAAAAATTAACTGTTAATTAATAAATTTTAAACCAGCCAGTTTTTGTTGTGCTCTTCGGAAGTCTTGTGTTGATCAATCATAGGTTGATTTCACTGTAAAGTGTAACACTAAAATAAGTGCATATTAGCAAAAATAAGTGAATATCAGCATATTAGAATGATTTCTGAAGGATCACGTGACACTGAAAAATTGAGTAATGGGTGCTTAAAATTCACATATTCAAATAGAAATTTTATAGTTGTTATTATTATTATTATACTTTAATATTTTACTATTTTACTGTTTTTCATCAAATAAAAAAAGCCTTGGTGAGCAAATGAGACTTAAAACTAACAAATCTTAACTTTTGACTGGTATTGGGTGTGTGAATGGTCCACTGTGTTGACTCCAGCAGGAGCAGCTGAAAATGAAAGAGAGAATGCAGTTGAACAGAAATATAGCAGTTAAAAAAGAGAATGCAAAGTAAAAAAAAGTAAAAAAAGAATTAACAAATAAATAAAACGAGTTGCATCTCAGAGTCAAAGTAGCTTTATTATAATTTAAGCTCTATACAGCCTGTACACAGTGAACCAAAAAAAAAAAAACGTTCCACCAGGACCATGGTTCTACATAAGACAACAATGGACACAGGACTACAAAACTAAACTGTGTATAAATAAATGATATTAATAGGGTGACCAGATTTCTCATGGTGGAATACGGGACAGGTGGGCAAGGGGTGGGCAATATGACCATGATATGATACATTTTATTTCATGATATCTAAATTATATATATATATCAGTGGCGTTCCGTCCAAATAAGCTGCGAATGCTCCGCATACCCAGGCCATTTGAGGTCTCCGCTCTGTTGCTATGACTCGTCAGGATTATAGCGCGTTCTCAGTGATTTGCTGGTCTGCGGCAGATTTCATGCGCGAGGTAAGCTGTTCGCGAAGCGCTCGCCCAAGCAGAAAAATGTGCTGTTGCTGTCAGATCTCGTTTTCCGAGAATCACATTGTGTTTGATGCAAAACCAACTCGACTAAATCAAAAGAAAAAAACACTGTAACTGTATATTTTTGTTTTCTCAAGCAAAGAAAATTTTAAAAGTCCACTGAAAACATATATTTTTACATTGTAGGTCATAGACAAGACAACGTATGTTGAAGATATACGTTATTGTCAACGTTATTGCCTAATCGGTAAATAAAAAATAATAATATAAAACGTTGGCTATATAAAATTTTAATAATAACAAACATCATATTGTTCCCTTTGTATTTTGCATGGTCTGTTATTGGAGTAGTGTCACCCGGGTGGGAATTTTAACTCCTATTCACTGGGAATAAAAAAATAATTTAGCTGATGCAGAGAGACATATAGACCCGGGGGAACCCCCTCCATCTCCCCACCCTCTGATTATGTATCATAACGTAACTACATGTAAATGTTATTTGGCGGTTTTTACTTGGGAAAACCAGCTATCTTTTTCTTGCATTCGAATAATGGATAAACTTGAAATGATAGAAGAAGGATTGGAGATGAATTTCATTTACAAATAAGGTAGGAAATGTGCATACTTTTAAATAGACACCTGCCAAGGTGTTTCTTAGCTATTTGTCATCTGTGATCCCTTTTTGAGCCACTGATCAGTGGCTCAAAAAGGGCTAAGAAATAGCTAAGAAACACCTTAGCGAGAAACAAATAGCTAAGAAACACCTTGGCAGGTGTCTATTACTTCACCTGACATATATTAGGGCTGGGCAAGTTAACGCGTTATTATCATGTTAACGCATTAATTGATTAATGCCGACAGTTATTTTATCGCACGTTAACACATTTTTTTATTATTATGAAAGTCCGTTGCTCACTGGCTCTGAATATACATACAGACAAACCATGGGTCACAGAAGGGGTGGGATGTTGGTTCAATACTGGCTTGAAAAAAATTTCTTAAATGAAAGATAGGAAAGAAAGAGTTTTTTTTTTTTTTCTCCCCTCTCCCCTTTTATTTTTATTTTTATGAAATGAGGAGGTCTCATTCAGTAATTAGCACTTCTTGATTAATTTATGTTAAATTGTATTGTTTCTATTGTGAAATTTATGTTGTATTGTCGTTTGTGAGAACCGCATATTGAAACAAGACACTGAAACAAAATTTCCCCAAGGGGATAAATAAAGTTACTACTACTATATATATATATATATATGCTACTCTGACACTGATATACAGTGCATTCAGAAAGTATTCAGACCCCCTTCACTTTTTTCAATTTTGTTATGTTGCAGCCTGATACTACAATTGTTTAAATTCATTTTTTTCTCATTAATCTACACTCCGTACCTGTCACGATCTCTAGCTGGAGTACCCACTAGCTCCGCTAGAGGGCACCCCATCCTGTACCCTTTACCATTCACCCCAGACTCCATTTCCCATAATCCTTTGCCTGGACTCATCAGAACTCTTTATCAGTACACAGCTGTCTCTTATTAGGAGGACTATAAGAATTGCTCACACTCACTCACCGGCTGCCTGTAATGTTCTCCTGTTTTTTCCGTGTTTAATTCTCGTGTTTTCTTGCCCTGCCTTGTCTTCGTGTGTTTTGATTTTGGACTATTTATCTATTCTATGATTGTTTGCTGCCTGCCCTGTTTTGTGGATTACTCTTTTGGATTGCCTTGGATGTACTGTTTTGCTGGTGTTTGACCCTGCCCATCTGACTACTTTAATAAAAGCTTTGCATTTGGATCCTCAACTAAGTCGTCATGCCTCCTACGTTACAGAATCACCAGCCACACCCGGATCCAGCAGCTTTCATGGAGCCATCCAGACCAGTTACGGACCCAGTCAACCAGCTATTGCATCTTCGGCAAGGAGATTTATCCATTGAGGATTATGTTTATCAGTTTTGTGAACTGTCCTATTAGGTACCCTTCGACGAGATTGCTTTAAAAGACATTTTTCGTTTTGGACTCAATGGATCTGTGAAATCATGGTTTCCTGGAGGAGAGTTTAATTGCTCTTTGAGAGACTTTATGGGCTATGCCTTGATTCTAAGTGGCTCTGCATTCACTGTGGGTGTTGTAAAGGAGGAACACGGCACTCCTGCAGTATCTGTCCTTCCAGAGCTTGGCTCCTTTTTGGCTACCGCTTCAGAGCCTCTTCACAAAATGGCTGGCGGCCCAGAGACTTTTGACAAAATGACTGCCGTTCCAGAGTCTCATCACGTCACAGCTGATCGGCCAGAGTCTCGTCACGTCACAGCTGTCATCCCAGAGTCAAGTCACAGTTGATCTTCCTGATTCAAGTCACGTCACAGATGATCTTCTTGAGTCAAATCAAGTCACTGCTGATCTTTCTGAGTCAAGTCAAGTCACCTCTGTTTCAGAATATCTTCATAAGATGGCTGCCAGCCCAGAGACTTTTTGCAAGATGGCGGCAAAGCCAAAGTCTGCTCACGTCATGCCTGCCAAGCCAAAGTCTGCTCACGTCAAGTCTGCCAAGCCAAAGTCTGCTCACGTCAAGTCTGCCAAGCCAAAGTCTGCTCATGTCATGCTTGCCAAGCCAGTGCCTGTTCACGTCAGGGCCGCCGTTCCAGAGCCTCGTCCCGTCATGGCCGTCGTTCCAGAGCCTCATTCCATCAGGGCAGCTGTTCCAGAGTCTCGTCCCATCATGTCTACTACGCCTAGAAGCCAAAGTCAGTCCCAAGGCGTTCGAGACTGGCATCTAATGTGGAAGATCCACCGCTGGTGTCTGTACGAGCTGCGGGTTACACCGCGAATTCTACGCTCCCGAGCCACGCAGACTCCGTGTTCTCAAGCGACACTGTTTCAACGTTCTCAAGTGACACTGTTCCAACGCTCTCATGCGACACTGTTTCTACGCTCTCAAGCCTGCCGGCCGCTACTCACCCCAATTCCTTAGGCACAGCGACGTCAGTCTCAGACATAGACAATGTACTCTCTGTCCTGCCAGTTATGGCTACGGCCATTTTCTGTGTTTGGGCCACACACACCACCGTAGTTTCCCCAGAGGTTGCAGCTTCCACTGCAGAACCTCCCGAGGTGGTGGCGCCCACTCTAGTCCCCGAGTTTACCCCAGAGCTCTCTCCAGCCCTTGAATCTGATCCAGAGCCCGCTCCAGTCTCAGAGCCTGCTCCAGTATTCATATGCACTCCCGAGCCAGCTCCAATCCTGGAGCCTGTTTCAGTCCCAGAGCCTGCTCCAGTACTTGAATTTATTCCTGAGCCGGTTCTAGTTCCAGAATCCATTTCTGAGTCTGCTCCAGAGTTCACCCCAGCTCATGCAGCAGTGCATTTGCGACTGAAAACTACTGCGTGCGACTATGAAAAAACATTTAGGAGCACCAGTGCGACTGACCAGATCAGCATATTTGTGTTTGTGCTGAGGGGAGCTTTAAAGTTTTCTAACGTATGTACAACATGTTTTTGCAGCGTTGAGTAATGTATCACAGACATATCTGTTGATTCTTTGAACACAATGTTAATCAGAATCCACTCACTGCTCAAAACAAGGCGTTTTGTTCAGTGCTGAGTTCTTCAAGCTCACATATCCTCAGACAAACTGTAGACAGGGTTTAAATAAGAGATTCATTGTGCAGTGTAGGGAGCTTCGTTGATTATAATAGAACTTTGTGAGATCGCAATGAACTAAGGAGAGTGACAGCTTTTAATGATTATTAAGGGAGTGTGCAAACGTGATATTGATTTAATACAACAGTTCATTAAACAAGAAATTGATATTAAGTGACATGCATTGTCTGACTATTGCCCGATTTTGCTCTATTTCGTCATGAAAATAGTTGCAAAGTCACAGCTAAGCCGCTGCGCATCTCCATTCAAACACAGCGGTCTTTCGTTTATGAATGAACGTGCGTTTTTAAACGAATCTGATTCAATTACCCATTCATAAAGAGATGCCTTGTCCAAATACCCACACTTGCGGTCTTTGCACTTGACTACTTATATGACGTATTTCCTGTATTTGGCCCAAGTGTTCAAGTGAGCATGAAGACCACAATTGTGTATACAG